GGCTCATAGATCTATTTCCCCATCCTCATATAAATATATTTGCATATGTACATGTCTTTATCTAGACCTCTACAAATGCCCTTTTCCTCCCAGCTGTTTCTTCTCACTTTGAGTCATGCCCCTTGAACAAACAAAGGTCCTTTGTTCCATCCTCGTCATCAAGGTTGACTAGACTTTGAGGAGGCAGCTCTTCCCTCGTCGTATTTTAAATGTCTTTTTATGTGAGGTGCTCTCTCACAGGCATTATATCAGACAGTGTTAGGCTTTCAGTGGTTAATCCATCATAAATCAACCCCCTGTTCCTTCTTCCTAGTCTGTTCTTACTCTGAATGCCTTTCTGAAACTTGTTCACCATAGATGGCCCTTGTCTTATTTCAGATACTAATGGCATAGCTTCCAGCATCACAGCACCATGCAAGCTATCACAATAGGACAAACTGGCAGGCAAGCTGTAAAGTTACATACTTAATGAGAAAATGTAGATATAAGAAACAAGATTAAGTGGGTTAAAAAGTCTCAACCTGGTTTTCTATTAAAAAATCACTTCTAGGAACAAAAGCAATTTAGACCAATTTGGAAAGCGAAATTAACAGTAGGAGAACAAATAGTTTCCATCTGTATTAGTCTCAGTACTTTGGAGAAACAAATCCACAACAACTCATGTATAAGAGAGTTTTACATAAATATTAAGTGCACATCAAGAAAACATCCCAACCCAGGGCTGCCCAAGCCCACAAGTCCAACATTAACCCATATGTCCAACACCAGTCCACAAAGTCCTCCTCCATCTCACAAAGCAGAAGCAATGATGCCGGCTGCTGGAGGAAAGCCAAGTCAGTGAACTTGTAAGCATCTCAGCGCAGGCAAGGGTCTCCACACGGGTGCTCCAGCACCCAGGGCTGCATCAGGGTAGGTCTATGTGGCTTCTCCTTGGGGATGTCTTGTAGGAAGTCAGCCTTGCAAGCTGAAACACGGGAACGCTAAGGCAGCTGCACCCTGGCCCGACCATCACAAAGCAAGAGACCCGAGAGGCGAGGCTCACTGAGCCACTTATCCCTCCACCCTTCAATTAGCCCCACATGTGTTTACTGGCCAGGTTGGCACAATAAACTAACTACCTCACCATCTCTTTTGCGCCAGGCCCTTTTCTAGATGTGATTGCTGTCCTACATGCTGGTATGGGCTATCAAGCTGATATTGTTAATTATTGCATCAATGTATCTTGGTTTAAATTTTAGTTTCATATGTGGTACAAGCTTATTTACCGCTTCCTTTAAAGCTTTTGATATATTTTTATTAAAAAAAAAAAAACTTCCCTTTCACATATTAAGGCAGTGATAAACACAGTGATTCTCAAATCATTCTCAGTGGTCTATATCTTTTCTTACTGTATAGCCAAGCAGAAAAATACAAGTGTGTGAGAGTTTTTACTCATCACTGTGTTTCTGTGAAACTCAATGAACGGTACTTCACAGACATTGTTTGGGGTTGGGTCCATGGTGGTGCATACAGTTACCACGCATGGCTACTAACCGAGAGGTTAGAGTTTAGAGTCCACCCAAAGGCACCTGGGAAGAAATGCTGTATCATATACTTCCAGAAATATGCCTCTCAAAGCCAGCACACACAGTCATCGTGCTCCTCTGGCACACAGGGGTCACCGTGAGTTGGGAGTAACTAGTGTCAAGTGGTTTTTAGGTTTCATTCTAAGGAGGAAAAAGGCTTCTGGCACATTCATTCCTGTTTTATAGTTTTGTCTAGAAAAAAATGAAAATCTTTCTTTGGCCAATCTGATAGTGCTAACCAATAGTAGAACGTGGCTTATTCATTCAACGGTACATTTTTTAAATCCCCACTATAGACCTCAGCCTAGTTGCTTTTTAAAAATTCCTAAATATATTTGCCATATTAGACCAGATAGATTTCAAACACAGTGGAGCATTTAGGTTAATTAACTCCCTGCTACCAACGGCTTCCGTCGTCAAAAAGGAAAGCAAGCAGGTCTGATGTTATGAGGTGCTGCAAGTCAGTCCGACTCCTCCGTACTATACACTGCGCCGTCCTCCCCGTGGCTGCTGTGTTTGAACCCCTTGCAGCCACTGTGTCAGTCAGTCCAGCTCACTGAGGGCCGTCCTCGTTTTCGCTGACTTTCTACTTTACCAAGAATATGTCCTTTCCCAGAGACCAGTCTCACCTGAGAACCTGTCCAGAATATATGACAAGAGTCTCCCCATCCTCGCTCTTAAAGAACATTATGGCTGTACTTCTTCCAAAACAGATTTTTGTGTGTTCTTCTAACAGTGTCCATTGCCAGCACCATAATTTAAGTCATCCACCCTTTTCCTGTCTATCTTATTCATTGTCCAGCTTTTGAGTGTCTATAGCATTATTAAAAATAACATGGCTTGGGGGCAAGTGCCCCTTAGTCTTCAAAGTGGTATCTTTGCTCCTTAACACTTTAAAGGGGTCTTTTGCAGCAGATTTACCCAATGCAGTACATCATGTGATCTCTTGACTGCTGCTTCCATGAACAGTGATTGTGGATCTAAGTAAAATGAAATCCTTAACAACGTTGATTTTTCTCCATTTATCATGTTTATTGATTCAGGAAACTAAGATCTATGTCATGAAAATGAAAAGAAAAAACTAGTTACCTGTAAATAATATAAGTATCCACAGCTGAGAAGCATAAATTCAAAAATGTGTTCTCTTTCTCATACAGTAAGTATTGGTTGGTTAGGAAGTAGCTTTATCTAGGAATAACTGCATCACCTGGCTTCTCTCTTATTATTCTGTTAAAATGGAAATGTTTGCATTTTGTTAACTCATCTTAGTTATGTCAGTAATAATTAAGCTAACCAGGCAGCGTAATCATAATAAATTTAAGATAATAGATTATCTCAAATAAATGATGAAATTTTCCTTTTACAGATGCAAATACTGGCATTATGATGAAAACCTGCTGACGTCCAGCGTTGTCATTGTCTTCCACAATGAAGGATGGTCCACCCTCATGCGAACAGTTCACAGTGTAATTAAAAGGACTCCAAGGAGATATTTAGCTGAAATTGTATTAATTGATGATTTCAGTAATAAAGGTAATGGCGATAGAGTTGGTATTGTGGTCTGTAAAATAAGTTAGCTATGAGCAATTTCATAAATGTGGTTACCAAAGAGTCTTTGAAGACCTTGGATTTAGCTCCTGGGTAGCAAACACGCGGACATTGCTGGTTGCTAACCAAAAGGATGAAGTTTCGATTGCACCGATAGGTGACTCACAGGAAAGACCTTGATACATCTACTTCTGAAAGATCACAGACATTGAAAATACTGTCGACAAATTCATATAAACATTTGGTTGTCATGAATCAGAATTTTAACTCAATAGAAAGTATTTTTTATTAATAGTTTATGATCAAGTTGGTACTGTACCAAATATATTTGAATTATTTAGTTTGCTCCTAACAACCTTAATGCATGGATTTTTTAAAAATAATTTATTTTTGTTGTTGAGAATATATGCACAAAACATACACCAATTCAATAATTTCCACATGTACAATTCAGTGGCATTGACTGACTATATTATTTGAGTTTTGCAGGCATTCTGACTCACCTTTTCTGAGTTGTTTCTCCCCAACTAAAAAAAATTTAATACTTCATAAGTTAGAAACCTGAACTTCATAAGTTAGAAACCTGAGCTGATCTTTTGAGTTACTGTTGTCAATTTGATCCTATATAGATAGATCTTAAAAGAGCATAATGCTCAAAGTAGACCTCTTACTAGTTAAGCTAAACTATTGCTTGAATTTAAGAAGACTTCAGGGAGTGGCTTAAAGTTTAAGGCTTAAAGATTATTTCAGGGCTTGAGAGGAAGTCAGAATGAATGAGATCCAAAGATGCATGAAATGTTTGACATTTGTCCATAATGGAGGCTCAAGTGGTGTAACCAAAAGAATTGACAGATCTGAGATTAATGCCTACTGGACAACAGGGGCTCCTTAGAAAGGGCTCTCTTGAAGATGTGCTTTTACAAGATTTAGAGGAACTAAATAGCAACCGACAGATGACAAAGATAATGTAAAACTCCTTAAATAAAATTTATTAACATTAAAAAAAAAAGATTCTTTCTGGGCAATCAAAAGTTTGTTGAAGATTTTCAAAAACAACTGCATTGGTATATCATCAGGGGCCTTCCAGAAATTCAGCCATATTCAGAAGAGGACAAGGGATACAATTACTGGCATAAGACAAATCTTGGTCGAAAGCAGAGAAAATGGTTCTTTCTCTTCTATTGGCTTTACACAGGCATTTGGCTTATGGATCATAACAAACTAAGGATACCATCGCAAAGAATGGGAATTCTAGAACACTTCATTGTGCTCATGTGGAACCTGTACATAGGCATTCGTTCAAACACGGGATTACTGCATGATTTAAAATCAGGAAAGGTTTGTGTCAGAGTTGTATCATTTCACCGTATTGTTTGCTAAGCAATAACCCAGACGTTGTACTACATGGAGATTGACGTTGTAAAGGATGTCATTTTATTTGGATCTACAGTCAACACTCGTGGAAGCAGCCATCATGAAATCAAACAACATGTTGCATTAGGGAAATCACTAAGATCTCTTAGTGTTAAAAACAAAGATGTCATTCTTTGAGGGCGAAGGTGTTTTTCAGTCACCTGTGTGCATGTGAAAGCTGGACAAGGAGTAAGAAAGGTCACAAAGGAATCAATGCCGTGTAATTATAGTGTTGGTGATGACTATGGAAAGTACCAGAAGAACACACAAATCTCTCTCGAAAGAAGTACAGCCAGAATATTTCTTAGAGACAAGGATTTGAAGAAGCAAGATATGAGCAAGCAAGACTTTGTCTGACTTTATGCTTTGTCCGTGTTTATCAGGAAGCCCCTGAAGGAGTTGAATTGACAAAGTGGCTGCAAGTCTGGGTGCAAACGTCACAATGATTGTGAGAATGCACAGGACCAGACAGTGTTTAATTCTGTTGTCCCTGGGGTCACTGTGAGTCAGATCCTGTTGGGTGGCACATAACAAATAATTTGGATATCAGCATTCTGTTCCCACACATGTAAAGGAACTTGCCAAAGCCTCAAAGCTAGTCATTAACAGCTAATTTAAGTTCATAAGCGTGTCAGTCTGTGTAGTTTGTCACTATCTTACATTATCTCAATTTGGGGGATATTTTTTAAAACTTCAGGTGCAGAAATAATTATTAAAAGAATGAAAAATACAGTTTGCATATAGATGCACTGCCATCTGAAACTACCCATATTTGTCAAACTACATATACTTGTTTGATAGCCTTTATTTTGCATTTCTAATGATAATGTTAATGGATTTTACTAGAACCATTGGCTATTTTTATTTATAATAGGAAGTATCCATTAACGCTTATATTGTTCTCAACTTAATTGAGGGTATTAAATAAAGGCAAAATATCTCTTTTAAATTATTTCTATTCTTTCTTGGGAGCAACTATTACAGCTTTCAGGGAGTCTTAGTTTGTCTTGGTTCAATTTGGCCAGAAAGGTTGAATAGTGGTTTTCTAGATAAATACAGGGTGTTTTTTGTTTTGTTTTTAGGCTAATTTTAATTTTTTTCTCGAGGTACATGCAGTATTGTAAACTGGTTTTATCTCTAACTTGACATAAATATCAAATGATAGATAATGCTGAAACTCAGACCCATAATCAGCATGCTAAATAAAAATGTAATTATGTTGCTGAAACTCTAATCTGGGTATTCATTTATTCTTCTTTGCTTATCACAAAAGTAAATTGAAACTTTTGAAAGTGACCGAAGAGCCCAGACTACTCAATAAAAACAGGATATTTGCTTTTGGCAAATAAGGTTTGCAGAGAATTTCTGTGTGTAAATTGTGATACCACTGAATACAATAGTAGAAATAAAGACAGATTACAGGTACCATGCAGTACCATTAAAAATAATTGTAGCTTTCACTCAAAACTTAATTTAAAACTCCTGAAGTCTAGATAACTGGTTAAACCTCTTCTATTTTTGCAAGGATGTGACTAGAATCTTGATCTTGTACACATTTATGTTTATAATAATGGCCCATGGCCTCTTCCCTTCATCTTTGTGCAACTATTGTATATACTTGTGTATAAGCCAAGTTTTTCAGCACATCTTTAATGAAGTTTTGGGGGTAAAATTAGGTGCCTCGACTAATATTCGGGTTGGCTTATACTTGAGTATATACGGTAATCACTTTTTAAAACCGAGTATTTTTTATTACACTAGAGAATGTATAGATTTAACATTTTTAGTCACTTCAAGTGCATTTAACTTAGATATCTTATCTTGGTGGTAAGTCTCTATGACAGGATGTTTCCATTAAGAATACTATTCCTGTCTCAAGACAGATATTTGAAAGTATGTTTAATGTTGATACTGTAGTATGTATTTTAGATTTAGAAAAATCTAAATCTTCAAAAATAACTGAGAAAAATCTTTAAGTCTAAATCTTCAAAAATAACTTTGAGAACCCCCATGTCAAGGATGGCATTGATTGTTAAGATGCCACCGGGTCCTCAGGTGGCACAAATAGCTTGCACTTTAACTTAGTTGGTGGTTCAAGCCCACCCCGGGCTTTATCTGCTTCTGTAAATATTCCAGCCAAGAAAAGCCTAGGGAGCAGTTCAGCTTTCTAAGACATGGGGTCAGCATGAGTCAGAATTGCTGTTGTTGGATGGATGTTAGTAGCACACGTGAGGGCTTAGTCAGTACCATCGAGTCGATTCCAATCCGTCAGACGGTGTAGAACGACTGTAGGGTTTCTGCGATGATATCTGCACGGGAGCAGACAGCGTCATCTTTTCAACGGCCCAGCACTTAAGCCACAGAGCATTTAAAAGGGACAATATGTCAAAAGGTGTTTACTATCTTAAAATAACTGTTACACCACCACCACCACCACCAAAAAAAAATACAAAACAGAATTTTAGACTTTACTTTTTGTTCTTTGTTTTGGTTTTGCTTCTGTTTTTATAGACCTCTGATACCCGGCATGTGATAATATAGTTTGAGAACATTCATTTGCAGTCTTATCTTAGAAGTATCTGGCTATCCTTGAGCAGAAAAGAGAAGATCTTTACTTAACTTTACTTAGTTTTCCTAATTTCACAGTGAGTTTGGATTCTGTCATGTGTGTCCTGACTAAGGTTACATTGTGTTAAGTGGTTGGACCTGAGTGAAAATGTGTCCCTCCTGCAACAATGCTACTATGCACATCACAAAGAAGCCCGCTGCTTGAAATAATTCAACTTGCTGCCATTACGTCAACTCTGCTAACAGTGACGCGATAGGACAGGTAGCGCATGCCCTGTGGGTTCCTCGGCAGTAAATCTTTACAGGAGTAGAAAGCTGCATCTTCCTCTCATGCAGCAGCTAGAGCTTTCAAACTTCTGACCTTGTGGTGAGCAGCCCAGCTCATAACCCTCTACAACACCAGGGCTCCTTAAAATAGCACCTGGGTTCCTGGAAATTTCACTGTCGTCTGTAAACGTGGTAGAGCACATTTCTGTATATTTATTCTTCAGTCAGCTGAGGCAGAGCACAGCCACATTCTCTGGCTTTAAAATAGGGAGGATTAGCGCATGCTCACTGTGTAAGTTCCCTGTGGGTCTAAGGGCTCCCTTGCTCGTCTTCCATTCAGTGCCAGGCTGCCAGAGCAGCCTGATCACAGATATTGCAGAGGTTGGAGCAGAGGGAAGGAAAGGACATGGTGGAGCCCAGACTGGCTCTTAACATTTATGCTACCAAGTGACCTCTGCCGTTTCCACCCGCACTTCATTGGCCAGCTCAAATCACAAAGCTCAGCCTTGCATCAGTGGATTAGATGTGGATTAAACAAACCTCAAGAAGTTGTTGTTAGCCATGGTCAAGGTGACTTATGGCAATCCCATGTGTTGTAGAGTAGAGCTACTTTGTAGTGTTGTCTTGATTATCATTTTTATGGAAGTAAATCATTGCCAGGCCTTTTCTTCTGTGGCTTTGGTTGGGGAATCAAACTACTAACCTTCCAGTTAGCAGCCAATCACACGCCATTTGCT